ACTGTACCTGTAAAAATAATGATACGTACTGTAACGGTAATGATACGCAGAATAATTAACTTAAAATATTGATTTTTCCGGATCGTAGTTCAAGGCGTTCAAATTTCCAAGAAAAACGTTACAATTTTTGATATTTTATAAAATGATTATCAACAAGCGTTTGCATATTTGTAAATTTCCACATGGCAAGTTATATATACATAAAACCTGTCCCAAATTTTCTTTTTTTGCTCCTGACTTTCCTGACTTACAACGGTTTCCATTACCTAATTAAGTTTATTAAAAACGACTAGGTCAAAAAATCATATACTTCAACGCCAATTTAACATGAATAGTAAGGTTAATTTTTTTTTTTTTTTTTTTTTTGAGACTTTTACCCCACATTCCCTTTTTTTCCGACTAGGGTCCTCAGCACTTTTTTCACATACTTACTTTTAATCGAATAGTAAAATACGAACGATCTTTTAATCGAATATTAAGTGCAAATGATCTTTTAATCGAATATTTAATGTGAACGATATACTACTGTAAGCATTATATTAAACATTATCCTAAGTATCATGCATTTATATAGCATAGCAAATTTAAATAAAATTTATATTAATTTATTATTATTATTATTGAGAAAAAATTTTTTTTCTTGTTAAAATTAGGACTAGATTAATTTTCGTTAAAGTATATGCTATCTGATATGCTTTGCATTAACCTTCATTAAGCTTTTGTTAAAAATCATACGATATATCTTTTTTGTAAATTAACATTTTTAATCATGTATTACGTAGAAGTTTGAGAGAATCGCACTAATGTACGTACGTAATTCTCACTAATGTGCGTACATAATTTTCACTAATGTGACTAATGTGCGTACATACATATGTGTACGTATATTCTTTATAATGTATGAAATAATTACTACTTACAGTATAAACCACTTACAATGTAAAACATTGCTTATAAACACCAAACTTATTAACATTTTATTAATATTTCATTATTTCATTAACATTTCATTAAAATTTCATTAACATTTAATAAATTTGATTTATTAATTTATTTATTTAAAAGTTATCTTACATACTGTATACTGTAAGTGCAAGTACATTAGATACGCTACATACATACAGTACAGCAGTAAAAATATAAAAACTAATGATTAATACAAAATTTATTGTTTAATTTTTTTTTTTACGAAACAAATTCTTACAAGTTTTATTACAAGTTTATTACAAGTTTATTACAAGTTTATTACAAGTTTTATTACCTAAAACAAAAAAAAAATTTTTTTTTGTTTCGTTAGTTTATAAAAAAAATGTGTAACCTTTTAGTAAATATTTATGCATCAAGTTATTCCAAAAATGAAAATAAATCAATAAAGTTACGGGGCATGCTCACAAAATTACAAATCAGGTTAAGTATATTTGTTTGGTTAAGTATATTTGTTTATTAGGTAAGAATCAAAACGCATCATACCGTAAATGTATCAAGCCAAGATTCTGAGAATTATACTACTCGGAGTAGAATATTTTGTTGCCACAGTACAGTACATAGCCTTACTGTATCTTGCTGTATCTTACTGCATCTTACTGTATCTTATTTTATCTTACTGTGTCTCTTACTGTATATTACTTTATCTTTTGTTGTGTATATTTACTGTGTGCGTATAACAATTATTTATATATTGATATACAGTTTCCAAGTAGAACGGCTAATTATTGTAGAACAAATAAAATCTTTTGACGATCCGGTGATCGTACAAATAAGTGTTTGTCAGTGCGTTTGTAGTTTTAACAGTTTATTACGCAAAGTTACAAGTACTGGTGCAAATGTAGATATTCGATTACCATATTAAGATTGGATAATTTACTAATATGCATGGTAAGATAAAGAACTATGACTATTATTAAATTTTACTCATCTAAAAAATTAATTTAAAAATCATCAAATTTCCCTCCACTTTTTTTTTTCAGCGATCATTTTCGTATTCAATTTTTTTTTTTTTAAAAAAAAATTATCGGTTTAAACTTTAAATCGTTATGTATTTTTAATAATAATCTTCAATTCTTTGAATCTTACTTATCTTTAAAAAAATTATTTCCAGTTTCTAAACTTCTTAATTTCTAAATTTCTAAATTTCTAAAATTCTAAACTTCTAAAATTCTAAACTTTTAAAATATTTGACTTAAAATTTCTTGAGTAGGATCTTGAATATATATATTATTTTTTTTGAGAAAAATTAATATGGGAAACGCGTCTCGTAAACATCATCGTAATAAAACCGATAATTTATCAATATGTACATCGGGGAATGATGACAATTCATCCCAAACAGATAGTATTTGTTCCCACATTAAATATATAGGCGGAAGGCCTTATTTTGAAGAAGAAATATCTTCATACGTTGTATGTTAATTATCTTTTAATTAAACTGTGAAATATAATCATTATGAAATTTTTAATTATTTATTTAACTTGTGAAATTAATTTAATTATAAAGCTTCCTACAGATTGGGAAGAATCGGACAGAATTCAAATGGAACATTTTGCAATGAAACATGCTTTTGGTGGTAATTATGCTGCTCCACTTTCTGAAATTATAAAACCCGGAAGTAAAATTCTGGTATGTATATCTACAATTATTAATCAAATTTTCATATAAAGAATTTATATTTATATATATACGTATAATTTTTTTAGGATATTGGTTGTGGATCCGGCCATTGGAGGTAATTATCTTTTAAACACTTATGAAAGCACTTATGAAAGTACTTATGAATTATGAAAAATTCTAATTCTTTTCTACATTATCTACATTATTTCATTGTATTATTTAGCTTTGAAATAGCTCAAGAATTTCCTGATGCAAATGTATATGGAATAGATATTGCTTCAACATTTCCAGCTAGCATAAAACCTCAAAATTGCCACTTTCAAACATGCAATATAATCGATCGTTTTCCATTTAAAGATGAAGAATTCGATTACGTTTTTATGAGGTACATGATATTTGCCTTAAAAGATCATCAATGGATACATGTATTAAATGAAATAAAAAGGATTTTAAAGCCGGGTGGTGTTTTTGAATGTGTAGATCGGGATGTGCTTCGTGAGTATAATAATGCTGGTA